CATCGGAGCGAGGGGGAGGGCGAACTGGTGATGGCTGTGCGGGGACAGCAGAGCACAGTGCTCCAGAGTTGGGGTGTGATGGGAACAGATGTCCTGCGTTACCTTCTCGGACTGTCCCCAGGCAGGGATTGGGGTCTTACCCTACGGTGCTTGGGAGCTCCCTTCTCTGTCCCTGGCAGGTGCTGTGCATTGATGAGGCCACAGCCAGCGTGGATCCGAGGACAGACCAGCTGCTGCAGCAGACCATCCGCCAGCGCTTCGCTGACAAAACTGTTTTGACGATTGCTCACAGGTATGGAGGAAGCAGCGCTCTGTGCCTAAATTCATCCTATTGCTCACAGGGAGTGGTGGCTGCACCTACCATGCCTGAGCCTTGAGCTGAGCAGGGAGGTCTCCGTGATGAGGCTTTTCAAGTGCAAAAGGCTGGACCTTTCCCATTTGCCTTTTCTGCTTTATTAGCCCCTGGGCACTGGGAACAACTGGATGTGAAAACGTTGTACCCAGAAATTGAGGGACAGTTTAAAGGGCAAAACGCTGTATCGTATGGCAGACGGCTCTTCCTGGACACTGCCTACTGGGACCAGGGGAGTGAATCGGACCTTGTGGTTCTGCCAAATTAGGGCAAGGAGCAATGGAGAACTACCCTGCAGAAAGGAATAGCGTGGAGACTGGGAAGAAGCAGGTGTCTCTGGCTCAGTAGAGGGCACTGCAGGACAGCCGGCAGCGAAGGGCTGCAGGCAGCACCTGGCCAGGGGAGGAAGAACGCTGGGTAGTTCTGCTTTCCAAACCCCTGAGTTTTGGTTCCAGCCTGCACCCGATGGGGGCAGGGCACAGGCACTGCTCGGGCTGGACAGGACAGCAGTGCTTGCCCCACAGCTGAGAGATTTAGTGTAAGAGTTAGGGGCAGCAGGTGGTTACAGGTGGAAGGAGGAGGGCAAAACATGAATACTGCGGATACTGACAAGGGATGGGTTAGGGTTAGGCAGTGCTCCCACTGGCCAAGTGGAGGAGAATTTGGAGGAGGATTATGGGTTATGCAGTTGTATGAAGGGTGTTTTCAAAGGATAAAGGTTACCACAAAATTAAAAATCAAATGCACAGGTGGCAGGGGCAGGTGTCCTGCTGCACAGAGTGGGAGTGATGGATGACAGGCAGAGTGGGCTGGACTTGGCAAGTGAATCAAGTGGATCTTGTTAAATACATCAAATAGGAGGGAGGCAGGAGGGTTGTGAAGAGAACGTAGTTCCTACACTAGGAATATTATGCATAAACAGTAGAAAGGTAAGGAAGGGCACTGTGGGCTGAAGTGTGGAGTAATTAGAGAGGAGAACCAGCAGAAGGAGCGGCAGAAGGCAAAACAGCAAGACTGGGTTGCAGATGGCCCCAGCCCTTCTTCCCTGTGATGAAGGAAGATGGGGGAGACTAGTAAGAAGGGAGAGGTGGTAATGAGGTTGTTTTGTACTCAGTTCTTCCATGCTATTCAGCTTTGGGTGAACCATTAATTGGGTGGGTGAAATCTAGGCCTGGAAGTGACTCAGTGCTTGTCCTTTGGCCTTCCAAGTCTCTTCCAGTGCTGCAGTCTGGCACTCTTTTGGGGATGAACGTGTAACCAGAATCCTGAACTCCATAACACTTTTTACCTGCTCAAATACTGTACAGTGTCTTCCTTGTGACTTGCAGCTTCGTAGGGATGTAGTTTCGCACTGAACAGTGCACTACTGTGCAAAGGCA